GTTTCGTCGGAGTTTCACCGACTCATCAGGAGGCTGAACCCTCAACAGTCTGCAGAATCCCCTCACTGATTACACTGTAAATGATAATCTACCTTAACCAAAATCAAAGTAGACTATCACTCACCAACACCAGATGGAAAACTCTACAGCCTGTCGGTTCACAAATATTTCCATTTTCTTTCCAAATGACGTATAGACTCAAAGCGATTGCTCAACAACAGGAGGAGAGAAGAGAGACTTTTTTTCTTATGCCCAAAATCACGAAAAAAATAGAGTAAAATAAAACTCGAACTTCCCGAATAAGAAAACGCGGATTTTTCCCTCCGTAAGAACCATTAACAAGGACGCTAAGTAGAGACTCTTTCCACCCGCAGTACAGGCTTTGGGTACATTTTACCATTCTTTTGCATCTTTGGAAATGGTGGGGGGGGAAGGAGAAGGAGGGGGAAAGAGAAGGTGGGGAGAAGAGAATGGGGCTCAATGGGCGAAAGACACCGCAGAAATCAAACTACTCAGAATTTACAAAGGCATTTCCTCCGTCGACCATCTGCTCCACGTCGTCGGAATGGTTTCGGGGGCCCCCCATCCCCACCCCTCTAACATCACATGGGGTGTGGCAGGTAGAAGCCAATGAGGGTGCGAGCTGCGGGGAGGCCGGGGGGGAGGGGAGGTCTGGGTAGCCCACAGGGGCAAGCATGCGGAAGAGGTTCAGCAGGCCACTTTGCCCTTCCCGGGACCAATGCGATTAGTAAACAAGGCCAACTGAGAGCATAACCGGGACAATGCCGTATATGCTCTCAGTTGGATGTAGAGAGCACCTACAAGACGGCGACGGGACCCGAGGGGGGAGGAGAAGGAGAGAGATAGAGAGAGAGACGGCGATGCAAGCTCAATACGATCCACAGATGGGTAGTTAAAATGTAGTGGTGACGCAAGAGAAGAGCCCTCCAGGCCAGGTCGGTGGATGGATTGGGGAGGCGGGCGGGRGGGGGGGAGAAGAAAGGACAAAGAGAGATCGAGAACCGGGGAAGGGAATGGGGCGATGAGGACTGCGGGGGAGCGCTACGCGATAAGACTAGGCGAGCACTGGCGACAACCAGTTGGGATAGGCACTGCTCACAACATTGAAAAGCCCCAAAGAAGAAGAAAGAGAGCAGTGTACGATCGCTAGCAATCTTTCATATTGCCGACTTCGTGCAGACAGAGACAAAGAAACGTCGTCGTCGACCATCCTCTCTCTCTCTCTCTCTCTCTCTCTCTCTCTCTCTCTCTCTCTCTCTCTCTCT